CCTTTGTGGTGGATTTTACTTTAAAGTCTATTTTGTCGGATATTAATATTACCACGCCTGCTCTTTTAAGATTGTTGTTTACTCGATATTTTTTTTCCCCCATCTTTTGAGTTTAGCTTGTTTGTGTCTTTAAGTCTAAGGTGTGTCTTTTAGGTAGCATTTAGACGGATCATGTTTTTTCATCCATTTGGCCACTCTCTGTCTCTTTATTGGTGAATTTAGTCCATTTACATTCAGTGTAATTATTGATAGACATGAGTTTAATGCTGTCATTTTGATGTATTTTTTTTTTTTATGTGTGTGTTGTTGACAGTTTCTTTGTTCCACTTAATTTTCTGTGCTGGTTTGTTTTTCTTTATGTATTTTCTTTTCATTTTTTTCATTTTTGTTGATTTTGTTATTTGCTGAGTCTTTATGTTTTCTTTTTTTTTATTTTGATTAATAGGATTGTTAGTTTCCTCTGTATTTACCATAATATTTATCTCTATTTTTCTAAGTTTAAACCAGTCTTTTATTTCTTGATATTGCTTTGACTTCCTCTCCATATGAAAGATCTATGACTTCATTATTTAGTACCTCTTTTTTGTTTTAATGTTGTTATCTTTTACATATTGACATCTCTGTTTCCCTATTTTCAGTGTTTTAGCTTTGATTTGTTTTTGTGACTTCCCTATCCAGGTTGATACCTGGTTGCACTGTCCTTTGTTCTAGTCTTGGGTTGTTATCTGATGTTATTGACTCCCTTTAGTACTTCCTGTAATTGTGGTTTGGTTTTGCAAACTACCTAAACTTCTGTTTATCTGGAAATGCCCTAATTTTGCTATCATATTTGAGAGACAGTTTTGCTGGATATATAATTCTTGGCTTGTAATTTTTTTCCTTCAAGCCTTTATATATGTCATCTCATTGTCTTCTTGCCTGCATGGTTTCTGCTGAGTATTCCAAGCTTAGTCTTATTGACTCTTCTTTGTAGAAGACTTTTTGTTTATCCCTAAATGCTCTTAAAATTCTCTCTTTATCTTTGGTTTTGGCAAGTTTTAGTATAATATGTCTTGGTGGCTCTCTTTTGGGATCTACCTTGTGTGGGGTTTGATAAGCTTCTTGGATAGATATCTTTGCATCTTTCACAATATCAGGGAAGTTTTATGCCAACAAATCTTCAACAATCCTGTCTATATATTTTTCATTATCCCCCCTGTTCTGGTACTCCAATCACTCGTAGGTTATTCCTCTTGCTAGAGTCCCATCTAATTCTTAGGGTTTCTTCATTTTTTAGAATTCTTTTATCTACTTTTTCCTTAAATAAGTTGGTGTCAAGTGCTTTATCTTCAGTCTCATTAACTCTGACTTCCATTGCCTCAATTCTGCTCCTATGAGTTTCTATTGAGTTATCTAATTCTGAAATTTTATTGTTAATCTTTTGAATTTCTGTTTGCTGTCTCTTTATGGATTCTTGCAGCCTGTTAAATTTGTCATTATGCTCTTGTATAACCTTCTGAAGTTCTCCTATTGCCTTGTCTCTGTGTTCCTTGGCTTGTTCTGTGTTTTGTCTAATCTCTTTCCTGATCTCTTGAAGAGCTCTGTATATTAATCTTTTGACTTCTACCTCTGGTAATTCCAAGAAGTTGTCTTCCTCTGAAAGGTTTTTTTTATTCCTTGTTTTGGTCACTTGCTGAAGCCATCATGGTCTGCCTCTTTATGTGATTTGATATTGACTGTTGTCTCCGAGCCATCGATAAGTTACTGTATTTGTTTATGTTATGTTTGCTTACTGTGTCCTAGCTTCTTGTTTTGGTTTGTTTTGATGTGCCCAAATAGGCTAGTCATGTGAGCTAGTTTGATTATTGGTGTCTTTGAAGCTGTCACCAGGTGGTTAGAGATGTTACTAGGTATGTGAGCCCAGAAGTCTATTTACTTTTCTTGTATGGATTCAGCTCAGGTGTCCAGGTTGTTGGTCACTGAGTGTGTGGTGCAGGCTCTCACCTACAGTCCTACACGGGCTGGGGTGATTGGTGTAGGCACAGGTATCTGGCTGCAGTAAAGGATCACTCACTGAACAAGGCAGGGGGCTGACGGCTGCCTCTGAGTGTCTGGGTGGAAGGTGTGTCCCTCTTCCCTAGAGCACGTAGGTAGGTAGGTTTTGCAGCTGGACTATGAGCACCCAATGCTGTTGGCTGTAAGGACTGGAAGACATCATTTGTTCTTGGCCCCTGTCGCAGATGGCTAGGTGGCATGGGTGGAACCACCAGTCTTCAGGCCCCTGATGTGGATTGGTGAGGACGTTGCTTAATGGGCAGGGTGGTGTCAAATGTCACAAATCTGCCACTCCCCTTATAGTTGATACAGTTGAAAATAGGCTTCAGGTATATACCCTGCTGTACTGTGGTAATGAGGGCCTACACTGTTGAAAGGGGCCCACACAGGTCTATGCAGGGATGAAAGGCATTCAGTGTCCATGGACCCCTTATGCGCGTGCCTAGGTAAAGGGTCTGTTCCTGCCCTGAGTTCCCAGCTAGGGGAGCTGGTAGATTATTTTTTCCTGTTTGTTAATTTGTTCCCTGTCCAAAGCCAGGAGAATGGCTCAGGGCGTACAACGGGTCCTACTTCTGGCCCAGGGGGTGCAGCAATCACTGAAGCAGGACCGGGACCCAGAATAGAGTGAGGAGGGGGTAGATAATGGGAAAGAGGTACTTCCCAAAGGGTGGGTTCTTTTGATCCACGTGGTAGGTTAGACACATGTACTTATCTTTCACAGATTGAGTGCCACTTCTCACTGGTTCTGGAAGCTTGAGCAGACTCTCTGCCCCTCAGTCTCTCCTGATGTGGAAAACCCATCCTGAACACCACTGCTTGCCTCACTGTGCACCAGTGGATCCAGCCTGCTGGCTGCTGGTGCCGGCCAGGTCAGATCTGGCAACTCCTCGCTGCTTCTGAACCATCTCTCCCTCCCCCTGCCACTCAGTACAATTCCTCAACTTTGTCTTTGATGTTCAGGGCTTCTGTATGATTGATTCACTTGTTTTTTTTGGGTCTTTGTTGTAAGAGGGATCACAGGAAGCGTCTGACTACGCCACCATCTTGGCCCTGCCTCCTGAATTTGGTTTTTTGTTCTACAATTTTCTCCCGCTCTGTCCAAAACCCTCTGTTGTGATCCCAGTCAGAACAGTTGGTAGTGGTAGCCAGGCACCATCTAGTTCTGGTCTCAGGGTCATGCAGGCTGTGGTTGATATGGTCCGTTAGTCGTTTGAGCTAATTGCTCCCTTGAGTCTTTGGTTTTCTTCACTCTCCCTTGCTCCAGGTAGGAAGAAATCAAGTTGTACCTTAGATGGCCCCTTACAAGTTTAAGACCCCAGATGCTACTCACCAAAGTAAGTTACAGAGCATTGTCCTTATGAAGTATGTTGTGCCAGTTGACATAGATGTCCCCCGAGTCTATGGTCATTTGTCTTCTAGCCTAGGAACTTCATACAGCAGGTATTTGGTTATGTCTAAGAGGTTTTCCTTGCTGTACCCCTTGTATGCTCTATATGAGCCACACCTACAGTCATGTATGTAGAAATATCCACTATCAAACCTATATATGCAGTGGGTGTGTTCCCTTACATCCTCCCACACCTCACAGTGACTCCTAGTGCCTGTGAATGCCTTTCACGTTTCTATTGAATGTGTGAATTTTTATCAAAAGCTGTTAATAAAAAGTTCAAAAAATACACGCAAGTCATGAAGTCGTTTAATGCTTAAAAGTGTCATTCATTACTCTGAGTTTCAAACAATTAAAAACAAACACCAAAATTAGAATTTCATGGAAAACGTGTAGTTTTCTTCAGCCTCTCAGCTAAGCGTCCCACTTCTCTCTGCCTACCAGTACCTTTGCAGACGCCATCTGAGCAGGATGGGGGCCTGGGGGTGGGGGTGAAGTGTAAGGTGGCTAAAACCAAAAACCAAATCGATGCCGTGGAATCGATTCGGACCCATAGCGACCCTATAGGACAGAGGAGAACTGCCCCGTAGGCTTTCCAAGTAGCAGCTGGGGGATTGGAACCGGCGACCTTTTTGTTAGCAGCCAAGCTCTTAACCACTGAGCAACCAGGGCCCAGCAATGGAGAAACAAAGTGTCTACAGGGGTTTCTACCAACAAATAAATTCTAGCCCGTCCAGACGATGAGAGGTTTGGAAAGAAGATGCCCGGAGGTTCCCCCTGACCCAGTCCAGCGCTCCTAGACCTTGAGTCTGCGATCATCACAAAGGGAATGGGACAGGGGCTCAGGAAGGAGGGAGGAAGCAGAAGGAGCATACAGCGAGCTGGGTGGAGGCCGCCACCCACTGCGGCCGAGTCTGGCCTGGCGCCGACCTTTCTAGCCGGAGCCCGGCTCCCGCCGATGGAGCCAGTCCATTCCTGGCTCTAAAGACCCAGGGCCCAAAGGAGTAAAGGTATTCAAAAGCGGGCCAGGATTCCCGTGGGGAGGCCCGACTTCCCAGCCAGCGTGACCCCCGCCCACAACCCCAGAATCTCGCCGCGCAGCCAACAGCAGGAGACAGAAGTGCCTCCAGATGCGCTTTGCCGAAGGAAACTGCGCTCAGGGCTCGGAGGAGGTGGCGATGGAGGGGCGGGAGGAGAGGGAGTTCGGCGCGAGCGCCGGTCGAGGGGGAGGGTTATGCCTGGGCAGGTCCGGGCAGCCCATCCAGGCCCC